TTTGAATGGGCCGAATTAGGAAACCTTCTCGAAGTTTATAACATATACGATATTTCTTGGAACGCAAAGGTAAAAAAATAAAAAAGAATTAATCCACACACAAGAAAAAAAAAATATACATTAAAAACTTTTTATTTTTATTCTCAAAGGTGTCTATTGCTTTTGGTATCTGTCGTGGCATTTCTTACTTGAATTCCTGTTTGATCCTTCATCATGATATTCGCTGTGCAAACATTATGATGACACCACATTTGGAACCAAAAATTACAAATTTTAGATATGCGATCGATAAAAGTAAAATAAATACTGAATATTATGAATATGTACCAAATGTAGATGATATTATTAATTGGATGGCTCCTGAAAAAATTCTAAATTACCGATATAATGAAGAATGTGAAATGTTTAGGTATTTATAAGAAATTTTTCATTTATCATTTCATTATGAATTTATAATAATATCAAATTTTTTTTTTTAATTTATAGTTTTGGAATGTTATTATGGGAACTTGCTTTCGAAACCATTCCTTACAAGGGCTGGGACGTACAAAGGATAAAATATCACGTTTTAAATAGTCAGAGAGAAAATTTAAACATTAAATTAAATAATGACGAAAAAATACTTCAGGAAAGTTATTTTAAAATCATTAAAAATAGTAAGTGTCATTTTATTAAATAGCATAATAATTTATTAAAAATTTTGATTAATTTCAATGTTTCTTTTTAGCTTGGCATCATCATCCACAAGAACGTTTAAATCTTCAGACCGTTCTCTTCGAACTTGATAAATTAGTTTCCAACTACCATCAAAATGGATTTTCTCAAAGTTTGATTCCAAAGTATATTAATAAACTTATTACTGAATCCGTTGATGAGTTAGAAGATAAAGCAAAAGAATGGATTGAAGGTGCTATAAGAGATAGAGTTATTAAGTCAATAGGATGGTCCGAATTGCAATATCATCAGAAGATTGGGGCAGGAAATTTTGGAACAGTATTTAAAGCATATTGGCCTAATATTCATAATAATGTAGTTTATAAAAAATTACTCATTTCATCGGACATTCAATTTAAGATGTGGGAAGCGTTTAAACATGAATTACAGATACAAAGCCGAGCACATAGTTGTGAAAATATTATTCGTGTTTTAGGAATAAGTAAAAGTGAGTTCTCGATATCAAATTTATTTTATTTTATTATTATTTTAAATTATTATAATTATAATAAATAATATATATATATTTATCTTTTTATAGATTTAAATAATGAATATTCTATTGTTATGGAATATGCTAATGAAGGAGATTTAAGTTTATATCTTTCAAACAATTTCGAAAAACTCGACTGGAACAAAAAAATTCGATTAGCTTTGGATATTACAAATGGATTACATTATTTGCATAAGGAAAACATTCTGCATAGAGACCTTGTAAGTAATGTAAATTATCAAAAATTATCAAACTATAAAAAGATTTAGTAATTTTATTTTTACCTTTATTTTATCATTATAGCATGCCAGAAACATAGTAATACATCATGGAAGAGCAAAAATTACAGATTTCGGTAATTCCAAGAGCATGAATACTATGACCAGAATACACGATCACATATTTGGTAACATTTCATATATTGCTCCGGAAGTTTTAAGAAAAAATTCCTACACAAAATATTCTGACATTTATAGTTTGGGAGTTTTACTGTGGGTGTTATCAAGTGGTAGGCCTCCTTTTAAAACTCAAGAAGATTACACAATAATTACAACAATATTATCAGGAAACAGAGAAAAGAGAATGCCTAACACTCCTAATGAGTATTATGAATTATATAACACATGTTGGAATGATGAACCTGAAAGGAGACATATTATTGAATATGTTTATGAAGTATTGGA